ACTGCACTGCTGACAAATAGTCTGACTAAATTAATGGTGTTTGGAGTTGCATCCCATTTTATACTCAGGAATCCTAGCATATGTAGAGTGGCTGAACATGCATGCATGTAATGATTGCTACTTGTTAAAAGCTTCTGAGCTCATATGCCAGCAGCCTACATCTCCCAAGAGTAGAAAATAGGATCCATGTGGGCTATTGTCACAAATAATAACGAACCTTCCTGTTGTGGAACCACTGTTGTTGGTTCCTAATAGAATTAGTCATTAGTGAAACGGAGTTAACACAAATGCTCACACTTTGTCCAACAATGTCTTAAGTACATTTATTGAGAGACAGGAAGATCTTTTATTAGGCAAGTTTGAGGAATCTCTTAGATTTCCCAAAGCATTTTTAATTGGAACTGGTTTTTTTTAGCTGGACATAATTAAGTCCATTATATTTTTGCTAGACAATGCCCACCATCTAAACGTGAAGTTAAATCTGTTCAGAATGCAAAGACACCCCGGCCATTTGAACACAGCTTTCTTTTCTGAAAATTTGTCAGATAATTTCCTCTCACTGAACTGAATAAATTTCATTTGAAGTCAATAATCCTCCCTAATTTCCTCATTTTACAGGGTAGATGCACAATTATTTTCAGTAGCCTTATATTGAATTTTACATTGGAAAAATCATCAAGAAAAATAAGTTACTCGCTAAGTTTGCAGGCCAGTTCTTGGAGAGCTTCTTCTTGGTCATGACATATCTTTTTCAATTGCCCATTTTTGTCCTGTAGTTTAAGGAATTCCTTAAAAAAAAGGCATGAGGGAGGTTAAAGTAAGAAGAAACAACACTGCACACAACACTTATTACTTAGAAAGTTACTTTTAAAATGTCATAATTTTACGTATTATCCAGTACTGTATGTCAAATCAGAAGATTAATGGAAAAGGCAATAGTATTTTGGAAATCTCAAAAGCATAAATAGCAACTCATAAATAAAGTGATATGATGGTGGTCCACATAATTATTACCAGAAGATCTGCCCACGTTCCATAGCAAGTAATGTGTGGCTTCTGCTTCCTCTTGTCCTATTCAAACTTTTCTGTTGTAAGTCCCCGAATCAAACCCCAGTGAAGTCATGGAAAAACTGCTACTGATTTTGATGGGCTTTGGATCAGGCACTAAGAAATATAAAAGGAAACCCTCATTCTTGTACCATTTCCCTAAAAGGAAAGGTGGGCGCGAGAGAGACCAAAAAAATGGAAAGAATATATATGTGGATAACATCCCTTGCTTCATATTCTCTTAAGAAATCCACCTCTGGCAGATCATCTACAGAAGCATGAGGCAATGGGGCTTACATAGCCTATGCCACCCCCAATATGTCACTGCCACAGCATCCTTCCTTGGACACAATTCATTTGCCTCTTCGTCACTAAAAATATTGTGTGGGAGAGAAATGGGGCTAGCAGGTGGAAAGATGTAACATGTTACATATATCTAGAAAGCAGCAAAATGTTCTATTTTATCTACATTTGTTTTGTATTTAAATGTTATGTTTACTTCACCCCAGAGCCTTGCAGTTCTTATAAGATTGACAGACAAATGGTTGGCTTTCAAACCCTACTCCTGAAAAAGACATATTCACGTACCAAAAAGCACAATTCAGAGGACATTCACTTTCTTCTATCTGTCTGGCATTTTCACCTTCTCAGTTTCCTTGTAATAACTGAGATGATTACAAACACCACAAATAGCTGGAGGGTTTTTTTGCCTGACTTTAGGTGGCTGTGATCTTAACTGTTTCAGGAAAACACATTATTTGGACTATATGAGTTAGGGAGTCCTTTTCTCATAAGTAATGAGTTCAAGTTTTTCCTTCTACTTTATCCTGATGGTACTTCATCTGGTTCTACAAATCAGTGATGTCAGATGCCAATTTTCTAAAGGAACACTTACTCCCTATTCCAGGTTGAACTTCTCGAGTCTGGCTCTCTCTAGTCCATCAACATTTGTGGTCCAGCATTTTAGTTAGCCAGACATCCACTTATCATGGGTGTGGCCAAGTTACCTGCAGTCCCATAAAGTTTGTTTACAGCCCTGACTCCCAGTGTTCAGTACTTTCATTTAGCTTTAATTTATCCCTAAATGTCTTCTTAGTGGCCAGTAAACAGTGGAAGCTTAGGTAATGCTGCTAGATAATACTGACCTCCTGTGATCCAGCAAATTCCCTGGTTCGACACTCATCAGATCCCCAGTGTGCCAGACTAGAGAGGTTCAACCTGTACTTTAAAAACTAACTGCTATGATTTTCTGGTTTCAGGACAGCTAAGAAGTGATGACTGACTAATACCATCTCCAGAGAATAATTCTTTTTTTGTAGATCCATGACAATAGTAATTTGAAACAAAACAATTTCAGTGGGCTTGTAACAGGGCAGCTGCCCTGTACTGGCCCCTTTAAGAGCCAAACCCTGGCCTGGAGCAGGCCCGGGGAATTCAGCCCAGCTGGGCGGCGTTGGCCAATTAAGGCCCAGCTGGGAGCTATAAAGGGGAAGGGCTGCTTCAGCACAGGGAGTGTGAGCCTGGCTGCCGAGGGAGCAGGACGCTCTCTGGAGCTAGGGCAGGGCCTAGCAGGCTGGCCGGTTGGCTGTCCGAGCACCCTGGCCCAGCACCCTGGCCCAGCCTAACTCTCTAGCCCTGCCCTAGCTCCAGAGAGCGTCTG